ATTAAGATAAAGAGATCCTTTATTCGTCCCACGGTGGGGAAATTTCAGTGTTGTAATAGCATCACCAATTACAGAGCACACAGCACAAAATAAACTAACAATAACTATATAATGAAATGTTAAAAAATGCTCTAACTTAAGCCTAATAAAGGAGGGCAACAGTAGCTCAGTTGGTAGAGCATTGGCCTTTGGGCCTGAAGGTTGTGGGTTCGAGCCCACCACAAGACTTACTTCATGACTCCCACTGATGTCTGCTGTCGTTGTGTCCTTGGGCAAAACATTTAATCCCACTTTACCTGAAGTTCCCGTTATAAGATCAAAGCTCCTGTGGACTTACCACCTGCAGGAAGATCAGCATCATATGTGATTTTAATGGTTTAAAGGTTTTTAATAACTTTTATATGTTATGTTTTTAATTTTCCTGTGATCTTACTGTATGTTTTTAATGCTCTTTGGGATTTTATTGGATTCTTGAACGTTTATGAATGTTTATGATTTACGCAAATGAAAGTTGATTGAAGTGACAGTGGACACATGTAAGTAAGTGAGTAATCTTTATTTATATGGCACAGACCAGAGTCACAAAGCGCTTTAGAATTTTGGGCATTTGTTTTTCACTCCACACAGAGATGGGAGTGCGGTCACCTATAAGAGGCGCATGCCAGACATGTTTTTCCTCTGGAGCACCCGGAGGAAACCAGAGCACCTGAAGGAAATCTACACACACGGAGAGAACATACGAACTCGAACTCAGGACTTGTCTTGAGAAGCGAGAGTGCTATCCGCTCAGCCACCGTGCATGTGGTTTCATATTCCACCTTTGGACAGGATACAGGACAATCCATTCCACCTTGCCACTTTTAATGGTTGTAATGGCATTATATTCTTTCCTTCCCATCGGTGCTTGCATGTATGGTCTTAGTCTGAATCTTTCTTTGGCAGTGCCTTGTCCCCCTGAGTGCGTGTAGGTGCGTCTCTCTGTTACTGCCTAAATTAAACAGTGCAATAGCGGCTGTAGGTGGATATGAGACTCTGTTGTTATGCATGCTCAAGTGCTCGGCGTTTCAAAGTTATTTACATCCTGCCAGGCCCCGCTGTAAAAGAGCATCCGTGAGTCAGTCTCCACGTGAACCGGTCTTAAGTGTGCCCACACGTTAGAGCAGCAGCGGCCAGGCGGTTCTACGTGTGGTGCTTTGGAGCGTGCCATTAGCTTGATTAAGACCCCCACATGGATTGACTGTTTGCACACATATGGTGAAGAAGTGAACTGCTGTGACCCAATTGTGCTTATTCAAGAAGCAGCGCATGTTCGCCAGAGATGTAAACGCAAGTGGAAAAAAGTCTTCAAACTGGCTTTTTTTTCTGTCCTCTCTGCCATTTTTTTAATCCATGGTATGTAAGCAAAGCAAGTTTATTTCTAGGCCTAAACAATAGCCCTTGACGTTTGTCTGTATTTATCTTGTGTATATAGTACCAACTATAAGGGAAACCAGTTTTTTCTGTTGGGCCCACTGGCTCAACAGTTAATCCAGGGCCACAACAGACTCTCTTCAGGTTATGTGAATAAACTTACTCACATTTCAACTACATAATCTCTTTAATACATGTTGTCAGGCGCTGGTTCAAAACTACAGGTTATCTGGACATCAGCACAAACAGACAAGTTTACAGACTGCACCAGTCTGGGTCAGCTAGATGTAGCAGCAGAGTGACAAAGGAATGGACAAAGAGCTCTGGTCTTATACCAGACTAACCAAAACCAGATATCTTTGGCTTCCTGCTTATTTAGACTAGTCTTTCACTCATGACTGGGGACTGGGAGAATGCTGCATCCCACCACACACGTAGGTTAACCCAAAGCTGTCTAAACTTTGAATAAATTCATCCACTTTAATGAAAATCCAACAACTCCACTATCAGGTTATTAGAAAATGTCTTTTGCATGCTTGTAAATACGTGAGTCACTATTTGACCATTGGTTCACTCCTGCCAATCAGCTCTCTGCAAGCTGATTGGCGAACGATTGGTCCTCTTTTACTTTTTTTTTCTCTGCAAGCTGATCTAACGATGTGATTTTTGTGGTTTGAAAAGTAAGTAGTCCAACTTTAAGTATGTTTTTTCCACTTAATGCTTATACTAGACAAGGCCCATGTCTGCTTCAAACCTCAGCTCACCGTTTAATGACCAAAAAATGTCTTCAACTAGAGCTTCTGTCCATTTAACAGTGTTCTGGAATATTGTGTGTATAACGGCAGACTATCTCTCCTGGGAGTTTCAAATCCTCCAATTCCTGTATATTCCTTCAGTGCGCCCTGGGGGGTCCGTCTCGCCCACCCAGAAATCCCCTGACGTGTTGATTTAGCTGGCAGCAGAGGCGGGGCCAGGTGGTCACGGCTCTTCTCGGCTGTATGAGTGCCGCGTTTCCATACGGGCCCAGCAGGGCGGGTGTGACAGATCTCATCACCGGGACAGGCTGGTGTTAATGAACATTTTAATTACTGCCACGGTTGCCAGAACCTGCTGGGGCACACCAGGTCTGCCTTTTCCCCATCGATGAATATAGAGAATGCATGTGGAGCACGCACAGTTGAATGAATGTTGGTGTTGACATGCAGACACGTTTTTTTAAGAACCGACAATATCAGAATAACCTTTATTGTCCACCGAGGCAAATGAATTTCCACAGACTGTCACATGCGTTGAATAGGGAGTAAGGACGTTACAATACACACAAGATACACAAAAAACAATGAGAAAAAAACACATATAATTCAGGAACAAGGGCAACATTACAGACTGTTACGAGCTGCTACGGCTACAGTTTTGAAAGTGGATTAAGAAACAACCCCAAACACTCTCCAACCCTAAACCTCTGTCCTATTATTATTATTATTATTATCATTATTATTCGCTCTCTGCTGAAGGCATCACTCTCTCTCCTCCTTCTTAAATTAGTCTGTTTCCTCTCGTCCGTCATAAGGCTAGATGGGTAAATGTTTAGAAATTGGTGAATTGTGTTTACTGGGGCCCTGCCGTTAAGCCTTTACAAAATCCCTACAAACCTTAGATATTAGAATGCGTATTATTTGTATCACTATGAATCAAAGTAAATAAAGAGAATTTATAAGATTAGATGTATACATTGGTGAAATTCGTAGAGGAGTTTTCTCTCCCTACTTTTATTTATTCTGCATATTATCTCAATAACAACGTGATCCGCTAGAGATGCTTATGGGTTAACCTGGCTGGCTCTGACTATGTTGAAATAAATATACACAGTTAGTTCTTAATGTTTATGAAATGTCATTTATGGACATTGGTCATGTATCTTTTCTTCAATCTGTGTTGGCGAATCCACAGCCTCAGAGATACTGTTGTGATTTGGGGCCATACAAAAACCCATTGAATTGAATTGAATTGAATTAAGATGATGAGATTCTTGATTTGTCCCACAGTGGGGAAATGTCAAGTTTCATTGCGGGTTACAGAGAACAGCAGTACTGAGGAGCATACAAAATAAATAAACACTATCTCTATACTAATTTAAAATCTCCAATTTAGCATAATAAAGAAGCAAGATTAAGATTCAGAAATCCTTTATCATCAAGCATAGCATAAAAAGCTTTAGCATAATGAAGAAACAAGAATAGATAGATAGATATATAGATACTTTATTGATCCCCGTTGGAGTATTTCAGGTGTTCAGCAGCAGAAGACTCTTTTGTTGTTTTTGTACAGTCAGTCAAAGGATCTCTTGAAACATTCCGTTCGGCAGCGTAGTGATAGGAGCCTGTTGCTAGGGTTATTCCTCTGAGCGGCCATCCTTCTGTCCAGCACAGAATTACGTATCTCTGACTTCAGCATAATAAGAAGTACGTATAAAATCCTGTATATTTTAGTCCAATAAATATACAGTTGTATGAGCATGTTTGCAGCATGAGGGTCTGAGACGAAGTGACTTAAGTAAAGTGATAGTGGACATGTGTTTTCATATTGAATCACCAAAAAATGAAATGAAATGGGGATTAAAATTGAGGCCACATACTGTACATGTAAAATCTTGTGGAAAAAAGCATATAAAAAGGACCCAGCTGCTTTGTGCACAGACCCTGCTGTGTCCGTAACCCCAGATAAGCACTGATGTTATATAGACTCCAAGACTGCAGCAGATAGAGGTACTGTGGTTCAGCCTCAGGGGTTGGATTTCACACTATGGAGATATCGGCATGCACCACCCCAGGCACTTTCTGTACCTTACACCTTATCTGAGGAGAAGCTGGGGCCACGTCCTCACACTGGCCCCTACTTCACCTGGAAGACAAACACGCCCCTCTGGTCATGCTGCACGGAGAACATTATCATTAACAACATTATGCGGTTTAGAACCACATGTGTCCACTGTCACTTTCCCGCTTTGTCCCAGACCCTCATGCTGCTAACATGTACAGATAAACATACAACTCCTAATTTCTTTCACGCTATTAACTAATACATAACAATCATTTCTTCTACGGGGATTTATAAAGTATTTATCTATCTATCTATGTATCCATCTATCTAAATAGTTTTGAAAGTTGACGGTTACGACTTAAATACATTCAATAAACATTTCATAATATGTTTAATATACATTCAACGTGGTGCTCAAAACTAGTACAAACCTCCCTTAGATGACAAAGTAATGACAGTAAATGAATGTGTAATTTTGTCTGTAGCATAAGAAGGTCCTGGTTTTAATTCTGCCCTCAGACAGTGTGTTGTCTATATTGGTTTCCTCCAGGTGCTCCGGTTTCTCACTACCACTAAAAACAAGTACAAATTTAAGCCACAAAAAGTAGAATTTCTCATTGGATATGAACAGATACTTCAAGGCTTTTGTATTTGCCTTTTAATGTAATACCTTTTTAACTCTATTAACAGATGTTCTTCTCGATTACAGCATAGTTGACTCAAGTCTCCCTCAAGTCATCAGGTATTTGAACAAAATGTCATTATTAGATTTATTTCTGGGAGGTAGTGGTGAGGGAGGGCGTGAGGGAGGGAGGGGGTGGTGAGGGAGGGAGGAGGCGGTGAGGGAGGGAGTGTGAAAGGCCGTGGTGAGGGAGGGGGTGAGGGAGGGAGGGGGGGGGGGGAGGGAGGGAATGAATGAGTGAGTGAGGGAGGCAGCGGTGAGGGAGGGAGGAGGTGGTGAGGGAGGGGGTGAGGGAGGCTGTGATGAGGGAGTGAGTGAGTGAGGGAGGGAGGAGGTGGTGAGGGGGGCAGTGGTGAGGGAGGGGGTGAGGGAGGCCGTGATGAGGGAGTGAGGGAGGGAGTGAGTGAGTGAGGGAGGGAGGAGGTGGTGAGGGGGGCAGTGGTGAGGGAGGGGGTGAGGGAGGCCGTGATGAGGGAGTGAGGGAGGGAGTGAGTGAGGGAGGGAGGAGGAGTGGTGAGGGAGGGAGGGAGTGTGGGAGGCCGTGGTGTGAGGGAGGCAGTGGTGAGGGAGGGAGTGAGGGAGGGAGTGAGTGAGGGAGGGAGGAGGTGGTGAGGGAGGGAGTGTGGGAGGCCGTGGTGAGGGAGGCAGTGGTGAGGGAGGGGGTGAGGGAGGCCGTGATGAGGGAGGGGGTGAGGGAGGGAGGGAGGAGGTGGTGGTGAGGGAGGGAATGTGGGAGGCAGTGGTGAGGGAGGGGGTGAGGGAGGCCGTGGGGAGGGAGTGGTGAGGGAGGGAGTGAGGGAGGCTGGAGAGTCATTAAGTGCATGGCTGCCCACACTGATGAACACTTCCTCCAGAGCACACAGTCGAGCCGTTACTTGTTAGACATGTCCAAGGGAAAGGCAAGTGCATTGTGAGGTAACGAAAGCCCTATCACCAGATCTGACAAGCAATGGCAAATTTAGCTTTAAGAAAATAAATCTTTATAGTTAAATGCCATTTTTTAAAGATTATTTTGTACATCTGGTCATTATTATTCCATCACAACTCAATTGGCATCACTAGTTTTTTTGTTGTGACTTCTTTTGAATATTCTGAACAAAAAATACTATACTTTCTGGAGTACTAGACGCACCTGTATATAAGCAGCACCACCTGAATATAAGGTTTTGTCCACATATAGGCCGCACCTGAATATAAGCCACAGGTTTTCATGTGTAAAGTAGTAGATATATAGACGACTGATTGAACTGGACTCAACATGATTTAATGACGAAGGTTTTTACAGCTTCACCGTTAGCTTCCATGGCTACGGAATCATTTCTATAAACATGCTTTTACAGTGTATATTGGCAGTGTTGGTCCTGTGATTGTCTCCCTTGACTTTCTTGTGATCCTGCTCCTATTAGTCGAATAAGCAAAACCATTCCCATGGTGGTTACTGTCAGTCGGACCCCCAGCAGAAAAGTTACATAGAGCTCCTTTTAAGCTGTGACATTCACGGTGGAAATTTAATCAGAGGCGGTGGGAGGTACCCCACGCGTAGCCGCTAATGAAACTGTGTGAGCGTCTGTCTCATATCCTTACTACTGTGCTCTAACCATGAGCCATATTGTGCATCAGGATTATTAATATGTAGTTGTACTAAAACACATTTTAAGAGGCTGATCAGACAACATGAGTGGCCTAAGAGTGGCACTTTAATGTGGTCATCCTAATATATTAAATTGTTTTTGGAGGAGCTCAAAGTATCAGTATCAGGTCTGCCCACTGCTTCACACAGCACCAGGCATCTCCTTCATCAGGTTATGGATCATGTTGGGGGTATTGTAATGTAACAGTATTTACACATTCTTACAAACTTCTTGCACAAAAGAAAGTTTCATTTCTCCCATAGTTAGGTGCACCATTACAAAGACTTCACCCACACCCATTTACTTAATTCAGTGTGTTTGAAAAGTTTGCTTCAATTACTCAAATCTATAAAAATAAAACTTTTCCCACATGTCACTCTCACGCCCTTGATGCTTTCGAGGAAGCGTGTGAAGTCTCCAGCCTTGATGTTGTTAGTTTGTTAGGTTTGATAAAAAGTTGTGTTGTCATGAAACGCAAATGGATCTTTGGCAGATGTTGTTTAATGTTCAATCTGTGACAAATAAATGTGATAAATAGAAGATTATTCTGTTTTTTTATTGCTTTTCTGTGGCCTTCTACTTTCAATTACTATTTGGTGAAAATCTGGACTTCATGTTTCATAGATTTACTTTGAATAGTAAATAATCGATTATAACGTATTACCCAAAGTGTGCAGCAGAGGATAATCGATTGCTGGCCTGGAGAAGGGAGATTTCAAAAAGCTATTTTGTGTTATTTCGTCATAAATAAACTGTCACACTTGGATGGGGTGACAGAAAACTTCAAATGTGCAAAATCCTTCCTTGTTTTATGAAGGTTATGAAGGTGGGGAATCTTTCGGTTTCATCACAAAGAGCAAATTGAAGTAATACTGCCAAATTATTACATACATACTTCAAATGTCTTTACAGATAGAAGTACAATTTTCAAGTATGCTCCTGACCTAAAAATGCCCTTTTATTGAGACTAAAGTGACTGTCTTTTTGAAGTTTTATACAAATATTGATATTATATTATGCAAATTAGTTTACATTATCACCTCTGGGAATATAGGATACATTGATAGTAAATAAATAAAATGGGGCGACAGTGGCTCAGTTGGTAGAGCATTGGCCTTTGAGCCTGAAGGGAGTGGGTTCGAGCCCACCACGGAACCTTCTCCACCGACTCCCACTGATGTCTTCTGTCGTTAACCCCACATTGCCTGAAGCCCCCGCTGAAAAATCAAGGCTGTATCGTCACTGACAGAGTAATAATAATTGTTTAAAAAAACATATGATAAAACAGCTAAGTGCTAATGTGAGTACCCTAACCCTAATCCACATGAGAAAGTGTTACTTAGTAGTTGGTTGGATGTTGAATTAGTTAATGTAGAGCAAGGACTCATAAAGACCCATAAACCATAAATGATTCACTAATTAGCTCTTAATTAGTTGTTAATTTGTGAGGACTAAACTAAAGTGTGACCCTTTTTTGTATTATTAATTTCAATTCAATCTGATTAGCTGTATTTACATCACATTTATAACTGTACACACACTTGACTGCTGCATTATCTTACAAGCAGGGACCCCAAAACAGAACATGTAAAACAAGGAATAGAAACTAGGAATCTTAGATTGGGAATGATAACAAAACCTCCAGAGTATAGCCACTCAGACATGTGCAGAACAAGGCAAAGTTATACAAATAGTTAAAATCCAAATTATTGCAATGTCGCTATGGGACATGAATGTTGGTCTGAATGTAATTGAATTGCTAAAGCATTCCACCGAACTTCATTCATGGAGAACATAGTCAGTTTCAATATTAAATAGTGCGTTCTTTTTCCATTTAACTTTTTGTTATTTTAGTCAAAACCTCTCTCTCACAACGGCTGCATCCTTCAGTCTTCCCTGTGATGATGGCAGCCGAGTTGTTGGACTAATCTGTTTTGAATGATACGTCATGGCTCGATTATGGGCTGTGGTTTTCCTCTTTGGGAGCACTGCTGAGCTTTGGGTATGAATATTTAGAGTCTTACTTAGATAACCATCCACGCTCATTTGGACGCCTTTCATTGGAAGCCCCACGGTGCCTTTGAGAACTCTCCCTTGAATAAGTGTCGGGAGCCAAGGCAGCCATTTCAATCTCCTTATCTTTGCACAGAGCATATTAAACTTCGCTGTGGATTTCTCTGAGACCCCCTGATCATTTTATATGAGCAGATGGAACTTGTCTCCATAAACAACTTAATCCTGCCTCTCGTCATTGGCGCTGTAACCCTTGAGAGTGACAGCTGACATGAGTGCACGGCGTGGACTGCTGCAGCTTTTGCACAGATCGAAACGGCCTGAACTTTTCGCCCTCTTATTCAAGGCATGACTCTGATGTGAGTCGCTGATGCTGCGTGTGCTGTCTTCCACTTGGCTTGAAATACAAGCAATGCCCAAACAATAGACAAATACTTTGGAGCAGAAAAAGTATTTGGTCATCCACTAAATGTGTGACTAAATGTGTGACTCTTAAAAAGATGATGCTTGTAATTTTCATAATGGGCATAAAAATAATATTGTCGGATTTTTACCTTTGAGTTGCCTTGTGTATGAACTCTGCTCTGCAACTGGACTTGTCTTGACTGATTTAAATCGTCACTTTATGCTTCTACCATGGGTCACTTTTGCAACTTGTTTGAGTGAGTCAGACATGCTCCGGACAACAACAATCTACACTGAACATAAAGAAATAAGCTGACTGCGTTGGTTCGCTCCGTGCATGGAAATTTTGTAAAAACAAACAGACGGAAGCGTTTATAAGAGCATGGTTCTGTTCGTATATGCTCAATGCTAAACATAGAGCAGCTAGCTGTTAGCATGGACGTTAGAACAATACAATACAATACAATTTATTCTAAATCACAACAGTATCATCTCAGAGGACTCAACAAAACCACAGATCAGAGAATCAACAGGTATGATAAATGTCATACATGTTGTAGAATATTAATGTGTCCTGGATCATCACAGTCCTTCTTAGTTAGACACTAACTGTCCAACAGATTCTCCTGCATCAGAGGAAAAACTCATAAGAAAACCCAGTGGGAAAAAAGTGAGAAACCTCGGGGAGACCCACACACTGAGAGAGGGATCCGCTCCACACGGACGGACGGGCTATAAGCGAAGAAAGACCCTCATCCAAGCCACACCCCAAAGGATGACTGCTCCCGACTGTAGACCACTGTGAGTGCTCAAAGATTAGGGCCAGCAAAATGTATTACTTAAAAAAAAAAAAAAAAAAATATTATGGTAGTTGCACCTGTCTGTTGGACTTGGTTGAATAAAATAAACACTATTTTGTTGCTTCCGCGTCGATAGTCAGTCAATATTTAATGGAATACTAAAATCCATGTGAAAAAAATACTACTACGGGTACTTATGGTTCACAGGTATAAACTAATATTTATATGATATTAACATTAATTAATGAACCACAAAGCCTCTAATTCATTTACATTTATTCCAGTCCCCGTCCTAAATGTATTACTTTTATTGGGGAAATTAAAAGTTTGTGACTTCCTGTTATTTACAATCGCAATACAAGAATTCTGATTCTGATTTAGTTTATGAGAAGATGAGATGAGAGATAAAGTCAGTATTGTGAGTTTTTGATCTTTTGATTGTTGGCACTTCTTTAGTCCCAGTTTTCTGTGCACTAAAACATTGGGCACTTTGTTTTTTCTGTATATTTTCATTTCTATGTGTTGAGGCGGTTATTATCCCAACAACAAATTTTCCTTGTTCTTTACATCTGGAACTTGTCAGAAAAAGATTGTTGCAACATGAATGCGAGGGGCTGACAATGCAGGCGAGCTTTAGTACATAACAAAGATAGAACATCAAAGTGCTGGAATGTAGCACGATACAGAGTTAGGCTATTCACATGATGCGCTAACACACCACAGAGCATACATAAATCTGCTGTTTAATGACTGTCTATAGGAGCTGGCCATACGCGTTTGACAGTACGTTACCTAGCAACAGAAGCCCCGAGATGTCAGTCAAAACGCTGGGACGGGGAACACTGCCCAGAGGCCTCAGGCGCCTCTGAAATGCAGCTGTATAAAAAAAGATTTACTGCTCTTTAGTTAATGCTCTTCTTAAATGCATTTTTGGTTGTTATGACTTGGCACGATCAGCAAGGAACGTGGATAAT